GTCGGTGTATTGAGAGATTGGAGGAGAAGAAGTTTCTTCAATACTTCTGATCTAGAATGAATGTTGGATTCCTCTTCAAGAGAGGAAACAAAGGCTTTGGCTCTGCTTACTGTGAGGCTTCTTAAACTAGTATTGTGGCAGATTTAAGGCTAGTCGATAATTCAGGCATTCTAGACGACCACTTGGAGATGAATCAGAGTGTTCGGTGGTTGGTCCAGTAGGAACGACGCACATACCAGAACCATCAAACTCTGCCAAGATTCATCTTTATGGAGCCTAGACTTTGTCGACATAGGAAGACGATCCCCTTCACGACGCGTGATCGGGGCAGTTGGAAGAAGAGTTAGCTATTGTTTGGGCTCGCAAGGTTTTCCTTCAAGAAAAGCTGACGTCTCTCTAAGCCAAGCTAGCTGTTGTCCAGGAGTAAGTTTTGGTATTCTGACTGTACACTAAAACGAATATGGGAGACAAGATTCAGATAAGAGGTGAGCTTATGTTTAAACAGTTGTCTCATTTGGCCACTATATGAAAAAGCGCTACAACCGATGGAAAAACTGACGACTTAAATTTTTGTCTTAAAAATTTTTTTATTTTCCAATGGTTTTGCGAAGGCTTATATGTTGAGTTGTTTCTAATGACATAACAACAGGACAAAACATCACTTATGAATGTTTTCCGACTGTATTTATTATCACATAACAACAGGACAAAACATCACTTATGAATGTTGTACTATTTTCCGACTGTATTTATTATAACTGACACATTGCACCATCAGTTATAAGCACATAATAACTGACGACAATATGTCGTCGGTTATTTAGGAACCCGCCATTTGGCGGGGCATTAACCGACGGGTGTTTTTAGTAACTTCCAGTAAATACCATCGATATTAATTTTAATGGTTGATAGATTTGAAACCATTTGCTCGCAGTCAGAATGAATCTTGTATACTATTGAAATTCATTACACCCTCAAACTTGCCCTAATCCCTTTATCCCTCTTAGTCTCTCCCTCTTCCTCTCCCTCATACCTTAACCCTCCCCTCTCCCGGAGATTCCATAGCCCCGGTGACCGTAACTCTGGAGGCTCTAGCACCAGGGACACTGGGACTTCACAAACGACCTTAGTCGAAGAAGATATCCGAGCTTTGGAGGCCACTCCATAAATTTATGAGGATATGTCGTTTTATTTGAACTCCATGAAGTTGTTGGACACGACATGTAGAGAGTTCTTCATGAAGATGACTCCTGATCATAGGGTCATCTATTTATATTTTTTTACTACAGTCTGGACCATTGATTTAATTCAATTTTCTTTGCACTATTTGTATTTATATTCCAGTAAGTTTATTAGATTTTTGATTTCGAAGTTTTTTCTTTTTCCTTAGAACAATGTCAATGCTTTTGGATTTTTGTCTTTTCAGTGTACACTTTGAAATTCGTTATTCAAAGTTCATTGAAGTTGTTTAATTCACATGTCTTACCTGAATAGAACACTTGTTCAATATGGATTCACAAAGAAAGAGACAGAAGAAGAATTGTGGCAGCAGTATGTTTGATATATGAGTACTATAACTCATATGTAGATTGGTCTCTATGCATGACATTATTTTACATTAGTGATAAATGGGTTGGGTAGCTACTTGAAGGACACCGTACAAGATTCAACATAATGTTTCATTGGAAACAACCGATATTTGTATTTGCAATAGACAAGCATTATTTGATCAACGCTGAATATCCCTTACAAGGGTATTTGAAGCCACTTTCAGATACCAAATATCACATTCTCAACTTTGAGAGATCCAACAATGTTGCTTAGAGCAGGAAAAAAATGTCTAAGTGACGCTCTTTCTTACGAGGTATAATTGAAAGAACACTTAGGAAAAAAAATAGTCATATTGCGTGATATGCCGACATATCCATTTCTGAAGCATGTGCAGATTGTAGTGGCCACAATGACTCTCCACAACTATATTCGACGACATCATTCGTGTAATGACGTAGTTTTCAGCATGGTCAATGATGACTATTTGCATGATTTGCCTGAAGCATTTGAATATCACATAGGACAATTTATACAACAGACAAAAGTAGAATCATAAGAGTGTTGCACCCAGGACAACGAAGGTGTTGAGGAAATGATTGAATTGAGAGAGTGAATTACAAGCACCATTGTTGGATGTTGAATGAACTAATTCTTGTTTATATTATACAATTCATGTTTATTTCTTTTATATTTATATTTGATATTGATTGTTTTGGTTTTTTACGCTATTCGTAAGTATTTTTTTCCATTTTCATTTCTTTAGTTTTTGTTTTGGTGGGTTGAGAGGTCCATGATGAAATGTTTGACCTATTGGTTCTTCTATATAGCCTGTTAGTTGCTTTTAGTTAATGTCACCTGTGAAATTGTAATGAAAGCAACCAAGTTTTTCTCTTCTTTTCGGTGTTGCGGTTTTTGAGATTTTTTTTAATGACAATTTTTGGTGATATGCATATGTGACACACACGAACTTGATATTACGTAGGTTAAAGATAACTAAAAACCCTTTCTTTATAAGGTCTGTTATCTTCTTGTAGTGACAAATTCGTTGGTTGGTGTATTAAGTTCTCTAAGACTTTACACATGCATAAAAATATAATTAATTACTTTTTTTAATCAATTTCTACTTCTGTTTTGACTAATGAATTGTCTTTTAAATCATTCAGGAAAGATAAACTTTAGGATTTCTGGGACTTCCCGAGGATTATCGAGCCACTGTGGACTTCAGAGTTCCCTTCTGACGTCACATCAGTCACATAACTATAATTAAAAATTCTACAGATGCCCGCGAAGAATCACAGAGGCATGTGACTTCTTCCGGTGGGCAGACTGACTGACATATACCACCACCGAGAGCTTGTGACATACGCCATATGCATTTTAAAATAATATTATCATATTATTAAATGTAATCTTAATAATTTTTTTTTATTTAGTAATCATGATATTCACTATTAAGTGAAACATATATCTTATTTTTTTATATTATTATGAAGTTGATTTTTATTTCTAAAGTATCAAATATATTAATATGAAAGTTATGTTACAAATAGTATTACTACATAACGGTAGAATAATCATTTGTCTATAAAACAGTTGCAACATAGCTGTTTTCAAAGAGTAAAAAACAAACAACAAATCAACTTATCAGCAAAAAATTTCCGCGCAACTTATTAATAAGATACAATTGTCCCAAAAAGATTTTATGTCAAACACTAACAAATAAATTTTTATAAGTGTTGGGCTCATTTATAAATCTAACTAAAAAAATAATTTATATTTAATTAATTTATGACATCCCTCCTAGGAAGCTTACACACATAAGCGCGCGCCCA